GATACTACTCACTGTTGATACGATGAGGAGCCTACGGGTCACACATTTAGAAATAATTTAAGAATTAGTTTATCCGAGGGGTACTTTTGTCTTTTAGGATAAAATTTTTGGTAATCTCACAGTGTAATTAAATTTGTTGAGGTTGTTGTCTATATATAATTTAATGTTAAAATTAAATTAGTGAGATTATATTTAAATATATGTACACATATATTTAAATAAATTATTATTATTAATTAAATGTTAATATATATATAAAATATATATTATATCTTATATATATATATATATATAATTTGATTTTATTTATAATAATAATTAATTAAAATTTAAAATACCAAAACAAGGGTGTTTGGATACAAGGATGGATTAGGGTTGGAACTCATCTCTATTCCTTATAAGAATAGGGTTTTAACTCTTGCACTATATAAGTGCAACTTGAGTTAAAAGAATTATTATTCATTCACTTTTATTATTCAAAGAAAAGAGGTAGCCACCCTTACCTACTCTCTCCCCACGTCCAAGGCATAAGATTGAAGAGAAACTCTTTCTCTTCTTGATTCTTTTGAAAGCCGTTGATTCTTGAAGCCATCCCATTGTTCTAGCAAAACAAGGGTTGGTTTTTCGGATTGTCTTCGTATGTATCACTGTTCGTGTGATTCTATGTTGAATCGGTAGCAGAGTAAATTCAGAGACACTTGAAAGAGTCTACAAATGTATGCAAGATCTCTAATCCTTCAATGGACTGATATTATTTTGTGCAGAATTTTGTTTTAACATGTAAACTATATAATCAATAACCGGATCTTGGCAAAAGAAGAATCGATTCATCCTTTTGAATTTTTGTTTTTCTGCTGCGTTGGGTAGATCGATTCCTAACACAATCATCATCAAAATCATCAATCTTATGCCCAAACCCTTTTGGCCCAGCTCTTGCTCTTACCTTCACCTTATTTCCAACCTTCTTCTTCTTCTACTCTCACCTCAATTTCTCAAAAGGAACGGCACTCGAGGGATATCACATACTGGACAACGTTCCATCTCCTCATCCATAAATATTTTGTTTATGCACTTTCTACAAATGGCAAAAAGAATTCCAAAAATTAAATCTTTCAGAAAATCTCAATTAATCCAATACCTTAAAGAGAACCTAGAAAAAAATTATGCATGTTAAAGGCACAACAAATATCCATACCAAAGAACAAAAGAAAAAAATGTCAAAATTATGTAACATGAAACACAGACTCGAGAGTTAATATAATTCACCCGTAATGGTTTACCTAACTCAAACACACATTATCTGAACTAATGAAAGTTTGACCACAATCATGACTCGTTTAATTAAAGGTCAAAGCTCGCAATAGTTGCTATTTTGTTTTCATCCATGACCAAAAAATAAGTTTTCGAAGACAAGTATGCGCAAAAGCATCATGAGCCATACATTCAAAATCACAAAGCCATAAGTAAAAATAACAGAACTCCGAAATTCTTGGATAAGTTGCTTCCCAAAGGTGAGATTGTTTCAACGTCAACCAGCATTCGAGTTTACTTTAAAAGACCAAACATATGAAACGAAGCCCAGATTAGAAGAAACTCAAAAGAAGCTGAACCCATATCGTAAAAGATGAAAAAGAGGAAGAAAACGAAGAAAGAGAGGAAAAAATTAGAGAATTTGACAGCAGAAAATTATAATAAAAAACTGATAGAAGCTGACATGCAAATCAACCTGTAACACCAAACAATCTATCCAATAGTTCACAATCAATGGTCACAACCAGAAAAGAAATAACTCTCTCCATATTGATAACAAAACAGAACAATACATCTAGAGGCCATGTTCTATCAGCAACCCAATAAACCAATAACAATTGAAAATAATGCTAAGTACAATAAAGAAAACAATAAACAATAAGACTGAACTTCGAGGGTCAATCACCTCCCTTCCAAACCTTAACCTTCTTTCTGAATATTCTCTTTCTTTTCTCCATCTCCTTTTTATTCCCTCCTGACACCTTTTTGCTCCTAACAAAATTCCTCTTTCATCCAATCCTATCAGGCCACCTGTCCTCCCATAACAAATCCTAACCTCCTACATAGCAAATATTCCCCTACTTCTTACCACTACTTTTCCCATGGTAGACCAACCCCCTTAGTTGCTCATCATTACCCTCCCCAAGGAGAACCACCTTGTCCTCAAGGTGGAAAGAAGGGAATTGGTATTGGATAGTGTCAAAATCCTCCCAAGTGTATTCATAGGGAGGTAAGCCTTTCCATTGAATCAGCACCTCCCACTGTCCATTCAGGAGCTTCCTTTCTGTTTATCTCCTTTCATTATGGGTAAAATAGTCTTTTCACTCAAAATTAGTTAAAATTGTGGAGAGTGAAAAGAGATAGAATTTCATGGAGAATGCAATAAAATGAGGGCATTATGGTAATTGACTAAGGGACATAGATAGAATTTTAAAGAAAGTGCAAGGGCAAAATGGGAAACTATATATAATATTATGTTATATCAAGGATTGAAGAGTGAAACCCTAGCCACTCTTCATCCATTTTCACGCCACTTTCACCTCCATATTCTCTCAATTTCTTCAATTTTTCTTCAAAGGAAATTCATAGATTTTGGGTACTTTTGAGTGGATTTTCAATCTCAAGCATCTTTAGGTAAGATTCTTGCACTAAGAAGTGAGTTTTAATTTTTAAAGTGTTGAATTTTGATGGTTTGTGTTCATAGGATTTAAGAGGAAGAGAGTTAAATCAAAGAAGATTCTTAAAGGTTTGGATTGCTCACATATAAGATAAGTAAATCCTACCCTAAGTATGATTTAAGTTATGTTGTGTAGAGAATTTCTTTTATGCATATATATGTGTTATATGTAGAATTGTTGATGGATTTGGTCTTGAATGATGATTATAACTTATCCATGAGAAATTGTGTTGGTGTATTTGATGTTTGATGAATGTTTGGATGAAATTTGGAAGAATTGGAGTGGAATTTTGGAGTGTATATTTTGGGCAGATTTGGCGTTAAATATGGAGGGTTTTATTCCCAATTTTTGGTGGCTTAGAAAAGAGAAAGAGGAATACACTCACACGGCCAAGGTTTCAAATCCATGCCTCAACCGAATCCGATCGGCAAAAGAATAAGAAAAGAAAAGACTAAGAAAAATATAAAAGAATAAGAAGGAAAAGAAAAGAATGAGAAAGAAAAGAAAGAATAAAAAGAAAGAAAGACTAGAAAAGGAAGCAAAGAAAGAAATACAGAGAAAAGAAATAGAAAACAGAAAAGAAAGAAGAATAGAAAAGAAAATGCATATTTTATACATTTGTGCATTTGCATTATATATATACATCATACTAAGCCTGTTATCTAAGTAGTGGAAAATTAGAACAGAGAGAAAGAATAAAGAAAGAATAGAGAGAAAAACAGAGTAAGAGTGGAGAAAGAATAGAGAAGAATGGGGAAATGTAAAGTAAGAAAAGAAATTCAAAATTTAAGTAACGAAGAGAAAAGGGTAGCATAGCGGGTTTACTTACTGAGCAATTAGTGCTCACTCCGTTGTTTCCAATATTTTTACAAGTAACAAGTGAAATGCGGTTGTTTGGAACAATCACGCAGCGGAAGGGTTGGGCAAAACTGTCAAGTTAATATTTTGAGACTTTATTATATTATGTAAAGTTTTGTGTATAAAGAAAATTAAATATGAGTCCATACTTTTATACTCGTTTATATATTTTCTTATATATATTTAATAAGTTTTTACTGTTATTTTACAAGTATACTAGCTAGAGAGAGAGAGTCATTACACATAATTAATACAAAATTTTAAAGATTTTAGGTAAAGTTAAATTCAAGTTAGTATATAAAAATAATAATTATAATGTAATGTAAATAAATATAAATAAATATTTAAAAAAGAATAATAAATCTAATGTAATTTACTATAATATTAAATTAAAAAATAAAAACAAAGCACAAATATATTATGCTTTGGCACAATGCCCATTTGGGTCATGCCAATATTTTCCTTAAAATATATTCTAGCCATTGGAAGGAGCATTTGATAGGTGCGTGTCTTCAGAGTTCTTTATCTCCAAAGAGTTAAATGCATTTTCTCTATTTTACCATAACAAGGAAACATAGGTTAAGCATATGTTTTGTTGAAGTAGCGGTATGCTTTGATCTTGCTTAAATAAAACACTCATTGTATATTTTTTAAGGGAATTAAAAGAAAAAAAAAAGTAAAATGATGACTGTTTTGAGTTTTTAAACGTATCTTGTGCGTCTAGAAAAAAAAAAAGTGACTGTTTGTAATACCCATTTTTACATAGTTTTTAACACTTATCTTTTGAGAATAAAGATGAGTGTTACAAACAATCAATTTCGTCTAGATGCACAATGATGACGCGCAAATGGATGAGTGTTACAAAAACTCATCTATAAACATTTTCACCACTCACCAATGAGCTTTTATATAGTAGTAATGGAATTGCAGAGTGTGAAAGCAACAAAGAGAGCTACAGAGGAGACAAAAGAGCTTGGAATATGTTGTGAGAGCTTAAAAACGTAGTGAGTGTAGAGTAGGGTTTATTTAGTGCAATTACAATTCCAACTCTATACTGTTCTAATCCTACTCGGATTTAACTTTTATTGAGGTGCATTTGACATGTCGTACTGGACTGGATTGAATAGTTTGTGTTGCATTGGAGTGAATTCGATAGTATTGAAGTGAATTAAATTTAATATTCTCACGTGTTTGGTACAACGTCGTTCTAAATATATAATTAATTATTTGTATAAAAATATAATTATGAAAAAAATTAAATAATTAAACGCACCCTTAGTTCACTTGTTTAATACAGTCTAGTGCTGCAAAACAAACGCACCCTTCGTTCTCTCCTGATCTAGCTTCCCCCTTATATAACAATCATTAACCCAAACTGACTGTAACAGCCAATAAGATATAACTATGAGCTATATAATTTGCAAACTTCAACTCTGACAACTATAACTCCGAACTTAACCTCCTTATGTTGAGCCAATTCTCAAAAAACATTTTGGTCATTAACAAAATGAAATTCATAACAATATGATTAAACATGAAATTCCCTAGTATTGCCCTTGAGAAGCAATTGGTCGATAATATATTTAATACTATATGTTAATCAAGTTTAGCAGTCGCACTCGGTCCAAGCAGGATTTTATATGGAGTCGGTTGCTTTGTTGAAGTTCCAAATACTCAATATACTTCATCCCCTTGTATGCTGGAGCCTGACTTTCATTATCTATCAACTCTTGTGCCGGACAAACAACTGTGTCAAGCGATGGTCCATTTGCAATGGCTAAAGATATCCTTGTACTCTTACTGTTTACAATAGCTCGATGCACAACACTTTTGTACTTCCCATTACTCAGAATCTGCCACCAAAGCAATGATCTCTTATTAGTTTCAGAAGACAAAAGTTGAGAGTTATATATAAGGAAAAATGCATATGGACAAAATAAAATTAATAGATAAGAAATGCACCTCAATATGATCACCAGTGTTGACAAGAAAAGAGTTGGGTGGAGCATCGACATTGACCCACTTGCTATTGTGTTGCAATTGAAGACCACCAATACCATTTTGTGTTAAGAGAGTGAGAAGGCCATGGTCAGAATGAGGGGGCAATCCCATTGCAAGGTCAGGTTGTGGACACGGTGGATAGAGGTTCGCAATCAGTAGTTGCAAACCTGAATTAAGATTTAGAGTTTTGTCGATGTAGGAGGCTTCCAGACCCAAGCTCTCTGATATTCCTTTAAGCAATTCTCTTGCCACCTCTCGGGTTCTTTTGCAATACTTTTCTGAAATCTCTCTGGAGGAACAAGAAATTGTAGTCAATTCAAGGAAGACCTAGCTAGCTAGAACTGCTTGCTTGTTTTTTACAGAGCTATGAGTAAAAATAGCTACTTCCTACTTCCGAAGTTTAATACAGCCAAAAGTCATTGAGATCTTTTTAACCATGGTTTCAAATCTTACCAACAGATATTTCCATTTTTTTAGTATTTAAGACTAATGTCCATGAATATTAAGCATTTTGGAGCATAAAGATTAAATGAATGATTTTCTATTTCATGAATCAGGGTACTTTAGTTAGTTCACTTCAATCTTCGGCTAAATAATGACAAATATTTCAAAGTCATTATTGAAATGGAAGGAAAAAAGGGTACTTTAGTTTTGAATTTTGAATATCATAAAAATGGATTCATTAACATTAATACCTGAATCCACAGGGCTTGGTGGGAGATTGAAACTGCGGATGAACAAAAACCTTAAGAAAATCCCTCCAACAGAAGACCTTTTCAACAGATGCATTAAAGCTAGTCCCACTTCTTATGGGATCTAGTACATGCTTTCCTTCAAATTCTCCCTTCTCCTCTTCTGTTAGATCAAAAAAAATTTTGCATTCCTCCATCATTTCCTTCATTAGGATCTCCGGTACCCCATGATTTATCACCTAAGCCCACCAACTCAATATATTAATTTTACTGCATTTCATCAACTCTAACTTAAATTTTCAAGAACTGAATTACATATATAGCTTGTACGTGATGTTGTTGAAGAGAGTAACAAGTAAAAAATTGCAATATTTGTTGAATAATACATAAGTATACCTTGAAGAAGCCCCATTTTTGGCAGGCTTCGCGGAGGTCGTTGATGATGATGGAGCGAACCTCAGGAGATGAAGAAGTGAGTAAAGAGAAATCAATAACAGGGATTAAATTATCATCATATTCAGTGTCTGAAACTGAAGATTTTTTATCACTTTCATTTTTGGGGAAAGTGTAAGTGGATGGTATGGAAGACAGGCCGGGAGATTCAGCTAAAACTTTTACAGTGGCCATTTTATTAGGTAAGGAAACCAGCGGTAGTGATGCCGTCTCAGCCATGAAAGATTCAAATAGAGAGCAAGAAGTAAATAATCAAGTTGTGAACAAAAGAGGTCCAGAACGCACGATATATAGAATCATGGATGAGGTATATCCTTTGGTCCCTAAAAGTTTGCCTAGCAATGTTAGGTCCAGTAAATTCAGAATAACAACTGGGTCCATGTCTATTAAATGCCTGTCACACTAAAATAAACTGCTTAGGGTTACCTACTTACCTTAGTATTTCCATGATCTTTTATAATTTAAAATAAGTAATAAAAAATAAACATACACCCAAAGCCTCCCTCGTAAAGCCCTAACACAACTATTCCTCTTCTCCACGTAACACCACCCTTGAGCAGCAGCCCCGCTCCAGCCCCAACCCCGCCTTCGCAGACCCAACAGAATGCAAGTTGAGGTCTTTTTTATCTGTAACTTTTAATTTTATAATATTTTTATTTTTAATTTCATTTTATAATTATGTTAATTTCTTAAGTTAATTCTCAAAATACAAAATCGGGGAATTTAGACTTCTTATCACTTTTCTTAAGCGGCCCAAAAATTTGTAAAACGGAGGCTAATTGATAGGAACCAAACTTTTATTTTCCGAATTATTGAACCTAATGTTAGAGGGACCAAAATGTACTTACCTCTTTTAGAGACAAAGAACACCGCAGTTTTTTGTCTGCCTTCGAAAAAGTAGGTAGGCAATTTGACAGGTCTTGAGAGGCGCCAGCCATTGCATGTGCATGCACAGACCGCTAGTGCGACAGCTAGATAGGTTTACAAATTGCGTTGAAGATATCTCAAGTGGTAGATTTTCCACTTATATTTTCAATACATTCATTGATATATTGTCGTATAATTTCATATTAATCTAGTACTAATTGTTGTAATTTGATTCTTTCACTATTAAAATTTTCGATTATTTTAAGGGAGATATTTCTTATTTATGAGTTTTAATTATAACTAATATCGAGTCTCTATACTTTTAAGTAAACCTAAAAAAAAGTTCAACTTACTCATTAGAAGTAATTTTAAAAATTATATATATTTTTGCATAATAGTTTTTGTAAAAATTTTAAAAATTCTAGTCTTTTTAAGCTTTTGAATTCATGTTTTGCATTATATATATATATATATATATATATATATATATGATGGATAGACACATAGAAGAGGATTGAAATTACATCAGACTAAAACTATCATCTCAAATTATCTATATTGAAACCAGTAAAATTAATTTTTTAATCTAAATTTGGTCCTCCGATTAGTTGCTTCTTACTTTCCGTCCCGAAAATAGACAGTAAATTAATATACCTTAATTTGAGCTCCACTATTAACCAAATCGTGGTGGGGGAGGGCAACACTGAAAAATTGGGCCGCGCATGAATCATCAATCATGAATGATCGCCAAAGCCAAATTTCTTCAACTTCTGTTTAGGTACTCTCTCTCTCTCAGTGACGTTATTATGAGGTGAGATGTAACTATCACAATCGATCATTTGTCGAACTTAGTTTCAATCCAAATTTGGCATACGTTTTTCAGTGGGGTTGTCTATTGTCTAAGCATAAAGCAAGTGGTGCAAATGAAATTCCAAAAGTTACGCTAAGAATACCGGGAAGTACTCATGTGAATTATTGAAAAGTAAAAATGTCAATTATTGAATTATATGGAATTAGGGCTATAAGCGAGCCAGGTTCGGCTCGACTTTTGTCGAGCCGAGCTCGAGCTCGAGCGGCTCGAGTACCCTCTCGAGCCGAGCTATGAACCACCCACTACTCGGCTCGATAGGCTCGTGAATGACTCGAAAGGGTATAAGTGCTATTTTTTTAAGTATCAGGGGGTTATATGTAATTTATTATATCCAATATAAATTATCCCACTTCCTAAACCGTATCTTCTTTCTCCAGCGTCGCCACTTTCTCCTTCCCTTTTCTTCATCTTTTTTCTCCTTCGTCTTTTTCCTCCTCCATTTTCCTTTTTCTTCACCTTTCTTCTTACTTCTCCTTCGCTCTTCCATCTCTTTCCTTCTCCCTCTTTGCTTTTCTTTGCTTTTCTTTTCTCTCCTCTTCTCTTTTCTTCTATCTCTCACAGTTGATGGAATTTTGAGTCATATATTTGTGGCTATTTGGCTTTGGATCTGATGATGGTTGGTGATGATTAGTGGGTTGGCTTTGTATTGGGGCTATTTTGAAGGATTGTTGATGGATTGCTTTGGATTGAGGACTTATAAACGAGCGATTCGCGAGCTGAATTCGAGTTCAAAATATTTAACGAACTCGAGCTTCAAGCCTGGTTTTCAGAGCTCGTCGAACTCGAGCTCGAGCTCAAGCTCGTTAAATTTTCACGAGCCAAGCTCGAACACCGTAGTATTCGGCTCGGTTCGGCTCGTATACAGCCCTATATGGAATGCACTATCAGCTTCTTCTCAATTCAGTATATTGTAAGATAATGTGGTCGACTAATAATTATGGATTACGTTATATATAAAGGTACATTTAACATCTCAATTCTAACTAAGTAATTATTGATGTATTTATTTTTGGGCTTCATACAAGAATCCTTCACAAAAAACGCATTTACTTAGTTATAAATATCTAGGACTTATAAATTGAATCACAAGCTTCTTTTGCTAGCAATATGGGATGTGAACTCTCCATCTTATGGATGGACTCCTTTTGCAAGCAATGTGGGATGCGAACTCTCTACCTTGTGGACCTCATGTCCCAAGTCTTATAAATTGAACCTTAGGCTCCCAGAATTTGACAAACTCTCCTCTATATGAACCGTGAATCCTCATGAGGTTGTCTCACCACACTACGACACGAGCTCCCCTAACCACACCATTAGGTAGCCTTTGATACTAATTGTCGCACCTCGGGTTCAACCAAGTACATATTATCTGTGTTGAGCTATCATGTGTTTTGATGTGCCAAAACTAAACAAAAAATTGATAGCTAGATTCTCTAACAAACATGCTAATGTATGATAAGAAGTCATAACCAAAAACCAAATACACATTTCCTGATTGGTACAACCATGCAGGACAAAGGAACAACCGTTCCTTGTTTCATAGAGTTGTTCAGATGCACGTTCCTCTCAACATGACACTGTTTCACATGTTTGTGCATGATTTTGTCCAAAATGAAGTCAAGTTGCTCTCAACGACACGACCAAGTAGCATGCCCGTTCCATTCAAGTCAAAAGTCAAAGTACTCATAATTCAAATAAATTCGCACCTTTGACAAATCTTCAAAGTCAAGCCTCGAAGATCAAGCTAAAGTTCATGTATCTACAGTGGAATGATTGTTCCTCATGGTAGAATGATCGTTCACACTCAAAGATCGTTCTTGGCAGAACGTCATCGTTTCAAGAAGTCATGCATGCTTCTGGAATTTTTATGGATTTGTAAGAAGCCAATGGACCGACCATTCCCCGTGGTGAAATGACAATTCGTCATAGTGGTACAACTGTTCGTCATGGTGGAACGATCATTCCAAAAACCTTAAAAGTTTGTTCAAATTGATCGTTGGTGTCAAGAACGAACATTCGTGATGGTGTAACGCCTATTCCTCTATGTCTATAGGCTTTTCAGAGTTGTATTAAATGCAGCAATAACTCTTTGCTTCAAAGGGAAGAGATGAGCAATAAATAGGGCATTTTATTGTAAAGAAAGACAAAGAGAATATTAGATATACAAAGTCATATCAAAAGCATTCTCACATAATCCCTTGAGCTAAAAATCCAAATCAAATCATCACTCTCTTATACTCATTTGACAACATTTGAGAGTATTGTTCTTGTTGTATGTTTAAGCCTAGTTTAAGAGGCAATCATTCATATATTTTTATTCAAACATCTTGTGGGCGTTTTCGTCTTTTTGGGCGAAAGGGTATTTTGGTAATTTCACAGTGCAATTAAATTTGCTGAGGTCGTAGCCTTTTATTTAATTTGTTAGAAAAATTAAATAAGTGAAATTACATTTAAATATTTGTTAGCATATATTTAAATAAATTATCATTATTGTTAAATGTTATATATATATATATTAAATATATATTAATGGATTTTAATTGAGATAATGATGAATTAAAATAAATATCTAATTGGGAGTGTTTGGAAACATGGGGTGTTTGGGTTGGAGCCCAAGCCTATTCCATATGGGAATAGGGCAATTAAAATGTTACTATAAAATAAATGTTTTAATTGTAAAAGGTAGAGTTTTTCATTCATTCAATATTTCATAAAAGAGAAAACACACAGCCCCCAAAAACACTCTCACGCCAAATTTGGGTTTTTGCCTAAAATCAATTACTCTTCATTTCTTCTTTGTTCTTAAGGCTAAAGAGGGATCTAGCAAATCCCTCCTTAATTCCTTGCGATTGTCTTTGTGTGGACTACGTCGGTTTGACCCTACACTTAGGTCGGTAGCAAAATACATTCAGAGACAAATTTGGAGGAGCCTCCAAACGTGCGTATGATTTCTTAAACTCTAGATTAATTTTCTGCAGATTCTTATTTGGTATAGACTGTAAAATTGTACCCTGATATTGGTTCTATGGAACGATCCTTGTTATTATTGTTTTTGTTTTCCGCTGCCTCAATGGATTGTTTCCTAACAGTAACCACTTCTCTGAGAATAAAATCACCAATAATTCTGCCAATATTTCCAGTTGTGATAATGCTAATGTTACTCATGTTCCGATTCTGCATTTGATAAACATGATGCATCCACTAATTTATATGTTTCTAATTCTGTGCTTGATAAACATAATGCATCAACTAGCTTATATGTCTCTGATTCTGTAGTTAATAAGCATAGTTTATCAACTAGTTCACCTAATGATTACAGTGTTTCTGATTCAGTGCTTCTCAAGCATGGTTTGTTAACTAGTTCACATGAATTTGAACATCTCAGTCATAAAAACAATTTCATTGGTACATCACCTATTATGTCAAACTGTCCTCACTTAGCTCATCAGATCAATTATAATATTGATAATTCCAATTCAGCATGGCACAAACGTCTAGGACATCCACATCTTGAGGTCTTTTCTAAAATTATGTCACAAATTCATAAATCAAAGCCTGTTTCAACTCTTCCTTACTGTGATGCATGCAAAATTGGAAAACTACAAAGAAATCATTTTCCTGTCTCCTCTTCTAAAGCTACACAACCTCTTGAACTTGTCCATAGTGATGTCTAGGGTCCTGCACCCATTGCTTCAGTTGAGAGTTTTAAGTACTATCTTCAGTTCATTGATGATTTTAGTCCTTTTACTTGGTTGTTTCCTTTGCATACAAAAGCTGAAGTTCAATCAGTTTTCATTAAATTTCATCATTTAGTAGAACGGCAGTTTAGTCTTAAGCTCAAATGTCTTCAATCTGACCAAGGGGGTGAATACAAAAGGTTAATTCCTTATCTTAACAAAACTGGAATTTAGTATAGACATTCATGTGTATATGTGCATCAGCAAAATTGGAGAATTGAGAGAAAACATAGACATAAAGTGGAGACTAGCTTAACATTACTTGCTCATGCTTCAATGCCTTTACAATATTGGTGGAATGCCTTTGACACAACTGTATACTTAATAAATAGAATGCCTACAGCCGTTTTAAATTTTGTTTCTCCTTACCAAAAGTTATTCTATTTTACTCCTTTGTATTCCTCTCTTAAAGTCTTCGGTTGTGCATGTTTTCCTTTTCTTAGAGACTATAACTGACGCAAATTCAATTTTCATTCTACCAAGTGTGTCTTCCTAGGGTATAGTGTTGTCCACAAATGATACAAATGTCTTAGGGCTGATGGACAGGTCTTTATTACTCCTAATGTTCATTTTAATGAATTTGAGTTTCCATTCTCTCTTGGTTTTTGTTCTTCATCCAGTCCTTCCAAAAATGTCTCTCCTAGTCACGTAGTTGCTGTAAACATGCCCACTAGAAATGTTTTTCCCTTTGTTCCTGTTCATATTCCTTTTTCCTCAACTGATACAAGCATTCCAGCTCCTATTGAAAGTTCTCCAGCAAGGCATTGTCCTCCAACCATTCCCATCACAACTTTTAGGAAAGAGACTTCTACAGCAGCAACTAATCCTTGTCCTGAACCTATTACAGATCTTCAATCACAGCATTCCTCAGAATCATTACACATCACAGATTCTACTCCTTCTTCTAATACAAGTCCAATATCTAAACTCATATCTAGCACCCTATATGACTCTAATAGTTCAGTACCAAACTACTCACTTGAAGTAGATTTAACCAGGTTTCAATTTTTGAATTCTCATTCTCCTACCACTAGCTCCACTTTACCCACTTGTTTACTTAAAGTTGACTTGGAACCATCACAGTTCTCTACTGTTCCTACTGGTACTCAAGTTTCTAGTAATGCACACCCAATGATAACAAGGGCCAAAGCTGTTGTGCTTCCAACAAAACTGTTCTTCTCATTTCAAGACAATCTACTGTGCATCCTAAACCATCTTCAGTGAAAAAGGCCCTCTGTTGTCCAGAATGGAAAGAGGCCATGCAATGTTAATTTGATGCATTGGTTAAGAATAATACCTGGTCCCTTGTTCCCATGACTCCTGATATGAATGTAGTTGGCAGTAAATGGATATTTAGGACCAAATTTCGTGTTGATGGCTCTTTACAAAGGTATAAGGCTAGGTTAGTAGCCAAAGGATTCCAGCAAACTCCTGGTTTGGATTACTTTGAGACCTTTAGCCCTGTTATTAAGCCTTCCACTATTAGAATCATTTTAAGTCTTGCTATCACCTATGGTTGGGACATCCAACAAGTTGATGTCAATAATGCTTTCCTCAATGGAGAGTTGAATGAGGTAGTTTACATGCATCAACCTAAAGGGTTTACAAGCCTACACCATCCTTCTCATGTGTGCAAACTTCGAAAAGCTCTCTATGGCCTTAAACAAGCACCAAGAGCCTAGTTTGACAAGTTAAAACAAGCCTTTTTGTCTCATGGATTTCATAATTCAATCTCAGATTCCAGCCTCTTTATTCTTAAGCATAACACCCAAGTAACCTATATTCTTGTCTATGTGCATGTTATACTCATCACTGGTTCAGATGCTTCATTTACCAATAAACTTGTGAAGGATTTGAATGACAAATTTGCCTTAAAGACTCTTAGGTCAGTGAAGTACTTTCTTGGTCTTGAAGCTACTCGAACAAATGAAGGACTTCGCCTAAAACAGTCCAAATACATCAATGATCTGTTAGTCAAGACAAAAATATTAGATGCTCACTCTTGCTCTACACCCATGGCTGTTGGAGTAAAATTGTTTGCCACTAACAGTGCTCCTTTTAATGATCCTAACCTATATAGGAGCACCATTGGAGCCCTGCAGTACTTGACTTTAACAAGGCCAGATATCAGCTTCCCTATCAACAAACTTAGCCAATTCTTGCGAGCTCCAACAGAACTACAGTGGTAGGCCTGTAAGAGAGTGTTAAGGTACATCAAGGGCACTCAAAATTATGGTTTACAGTTCAGACCTGCTATAAAATTAGGTGTTGAATGTTATGCTGATGCTGATTGGGGAAGTAGCCTTGATGATAGGAGGTCTACAAGTGGCTATTGAGTTGTTGAAATTGTGGTATCCTCTTTTAGAAATTTTTTCTCTTTTTCGTCCAAAGTCTGTGTCATTACGCTAGGTTAGTTTACATTCGGTTCAATCATTCATGATGAATTTAGATTTTTGAGTTGTGGGTGCTCTTAGTTCATGTTTTGATGGAATTAATTGTAGAAGGAGACTGGAACTTTAGTTCTCTTTCCTTCTTGTAAGATATGAAATACCATGCATTAACTTTGTTGGACTTTACATCCCATATCATTCCCTTAGCTTCTAGTCTTTATCAGCACATAATAATTGGTATTTTGAAATAAATAGAGTATAATGATTTTCGACCCATTATAGGGACGGTGAGTATATGTTGCCAAGAACTGAAGTGTCTTGTTAATTGTAAGAAGTCTAAGGTTTCTTTTCTTGTAATTTTAGGGTTGCGATTAATGTTTTTGATTTGTTTGAATTTGTAAGTGATCACAGCCGTTTAATAGCATGCAAGAGGCAAATATAATATCCTCATGGTTGTGCCTGCATCTTTCGTAAATCTATTAACATGTTCTGTTTTTTGCTTCTTTTTTTTTTTTTTTTTTTTTTTTTTTTTTTGTTTTTTTTATAATTTCAGTAGTGAAATTAGTTTATCATTTAAGAAATTTTGTTACTTTCATTTTCTACCTCTAATGTTGTGATGCATTTCTCACGCAGAAGAGTAAAAGAAGAAGAAGCCAATCGTTTTCATTTTCAAATTTGTTTTGGCTAGATTTTTTTGTGAACCTTTGTTTAGTTCAAAGTCCACAAAACTTAAAAAAACAATTAAGGTACAATATAACCATAAACTTATAAAACAATTACTGCCAATATTAATATTTTTTTTTTATCATTTTGTTTTTAATAAATAAGTATTGTCCATTTGCAAATATAATGATGATAATATATGAATTATGTCCTTTTATGTCTTAACATAAATATTATTGACTGTTTTCAAGAATTATTTGGATTTTATAAGAAAAATTGTTATTAAAATGATAAAACAAGTGCCACTTATCTTCTTACCAAAGAGATTCCCAATCCTAAATTACTTATTTCTAGTAATCATCAGTTTCTTCTTCATTGCCCCCCAATGTCTAGTTCTACACACTAATACAAGAACTTAAGAGTAAGTTCAGAAACAATTTTTGGTGATGAAAGGGTTGCGATACTGTTTTTTAATCATGTCCCGTCATGTAATGCTTGGAATTAGTAATTAAATATCACACATTAATGTTTTATTGTTGATCCTATCTCAAATAAAATGTCCAATAATAAAGAACAAATTTACTGGTGACCAAAACTAGAAGCTACAAAAATACAACTGGTCCATAAGGTTTATATATAAACTTTACACTAATTCTTTATTTATGAAATTAAGTACTCCAATGCCATTAACCGAAAACCATCATTATATAAATTAGTCAAATGTAGTTTGGGTTATAAAATTTAATTCTTTAATCATCTGTGGATTTGTTTGACATACATATTTTACTATTAATGTATAATTAGAAAGATTAGTCGAGACCCATATAAATTATTTTAGATATGCTGTTAAAAAATACAAAATTTCTTACGTACAAATTCTGATACCATATTATTAGTCAACAAGGGCACGTCGTAGATTAAATTAGTTAGTTATTTTTGGCGGTTATATTTCAACGGTCCTTACATTTCCAAGTCATAATGAGACATGCAGCCATTTTCTATCCCTCATCCTACAGAAAGACAAAGATAGATTACTGTTTTTAGTAGATTTTCTCTGATTTTGCGGTATTCATTTTTAACTCATTTTCTCGACTCTTTTGTCTTCGTCTTTCAGCGTTTAAAAACCAGTCTTCTGTTTTATTGGATAACTGGGTTAGTTTTCCTCCATTGACGCATTTCTCATTAATATCTAATTTTCTTCCCCTTGTTTGCTGTACGGAACCACATATTTTAGTTAAACTTTGTATATAAAGTTTCTTTTTTCAATTTCTTTTCATTTGGATTTTGGTGTTGCAGGACCAATTGTGAAGACCAGAAATATTTGGTAGAAAATTATATTTCATAGCAACTGCATTTGGAGCCCTGAGTCACAAAAAGTTCATCAAAGAGGACAAGCAGGAGCACATTGTTGTAGGAGAGGAACATATAATTTGAAGTTTGTAATAAAAGTGTTTGTTGAATTATAAAAGAAAAGAGGAGGGGCTAAGAGGCCAATGGCTGGGGAGGAGCTAATTCCTGGGGAAACTCAGGATCTGTCCCTACCCAGCGGCCAAGAAGAGAAGATTCAAGTTTTTGTTAGGTTAAGGCCTTTGAACGACAAAGAAATTGCAAGAAATGATGTTTCAGATTGGGAATGCATTAACAACAACACCATCATCTTCAAGAACACCTTACCAGAGCGATCCATGTTCCCAGCAGCCTACAGTTTTGGTAAGCTAATACTTCATTGTTCATTTCATAGCATTTTTCTTTTGTTCGGCCCTTCACAATTTTCTCATTGTTCTACAAGCCTTTTATTATAGGATTTAGAATATTGGAAATTTGTTCTCAAATACTTGTGTTCTGATTTGGTTTGAATTTTTGGCCCGGGACCATCAAGGTTTGGGGTTCAGTCATTAGAATTCTCATGTATTTTATCTACACTTTGGGGAATGGGTCTTCTTGTGGTTGCCAACTGTACTTGAGCTTCCTTTCCTCTTCTCCTGCTTAATGCTTTCTGTTGTAATTTTGGGTCTGAGATTTCAAGATTCTGGGTCATGAAGTTGGAAAATTTTGAAACTAAAAGTTAAAAAGGTGATTAAGCTCATATCAAGACTTTAATTCAGGTCTGTGGCAACATTCCCACAGGACTTTCTGGTTGAATTAACTCCATTACTAACCAATTGAATAATTATCGAACTAGTTTTTGTTTCTGGTTAAATAATAATCTTATAACTTTTGTTTTCCTATTTTGTCTTCTCCTTTTGCTTCTGGCCAATGTATTGGGAATAGACAGAGTATTTGGATACGACAGCCCCACAAAGAAGTTGTATGAGGAGGGAGTAAAAGAAGTTAGCCTTTCGGTAGTCAGTGGCATCAACTGTGAGTAATATTTTATTTCTTATTCTGTTTTCTATCTGTTGATATTTCATTGCCAAATTCTCCTCTAATAATTTTTTAAGTGTATATATATATATATATCCAGCAAGCATTTTCGCATATGGTCAAACAAGCAGTGGAAAGACATATACAATGCGTGGCATTACTGAATATGCCGCATCAGATATATATAATTACGTAGAAAAGGTAAAACGAATATTCAACATATTCTGTCACTTTAAATTCTTGAAATCTATCACAAATACAATCCTTTGTCCTCCAGCATGGAGATGACCATTTCTACTTCTATCTATATATTTCAGCATAAAGAAAGAGAATTTGTGTTGAAGTTTTCTGCAATGGAGATTTACAATGAATCTGTCAGAGACCTCCTTATCTCAGATACTACCCCACTTAGACTCCTAGATGATCCAGAGGTGATTTTGTTTTTAATAAAAATAAAATTTTCCATCTGGCCAAAATGTTGCTGTGGTATAAGTTTATTTTGAAGGGCACAAACACCTTTAGTAACACTTTTTGACTTCAACAGAGAGGGACTGTTGTTGAGAGACTCACTGAGGAGACTTTGAGAGACAAGAGCCATATGGAGGAGCTCCTTGCTATCTGTGAAGGTAAGGGCACTATTAATGGCATTAACCAAATCTAGTTTTGTTTTCAGCAGTTGGCATTATATGTTCACTTTTTGCTGAATTCTTGCAGCTCAACGGCAGATAGGAGAGACCTCTCTAAATGAAACTAGCTCCAGATCCCATCAAATTTTGCGATTGGTATGTATGTCATATAAATAAGTAGCAATTCTCCTGCTTGCGTAAGCTCTTATCTTACACTTTTTATTTTACCACTTGTTGGATTCTTGCAGACAATTGAAAGTTCTGCTCGTGAATATATAGGTGCTGACAAATCCACCACTCTAACAGCTACTGTGGTATGATATAATTGTTCTTATAATTATTGGTCAATCAGAATTCCTGTGAAGACTCTGCCAGGTTTCAAAATAGGAAACCTAAGTTTGCTTCTTTGTGCAGAATTTTGTTGATCTTGCGGGCAGCGAGCGTGCTTCTCAGGCAGTATCCGCTGGTGTGAGATTGAAAGAAGGTTCCCACATAAATCGCAGTTTGTTGACACTGGGAAAAGTAGTTCGCAAATTAAGGTTGAACAATTTTGGTAGTTAAAATTTTTATTGGCCTTAGAAAACTCAATATTTGCTTTAGCATCAGAATTGTTTTAGGATGAACTCAAGTGTTAATATAAGATATTACATGAAATATTACAATGACTTGAGTTTCTTGTATTGAAGTTGCAAAACAATTTACTTTTAGGTGGTCTTGATGGATACCTTCACAAACAGAGAATTTTCAAACTATGACTTTTTGTAACAATCACAAATTTGAATGGATACATCTTATCCATCTCTTCTTGTTGATGTAGACGGATTGTACCCTCAATTTTATTCATAGCTCCTGAACTTGTTAACCATAACCAAATTCCAGGCCTCATTCATGACATCTTGTCCTTCTTAGATGCTTACAGTGGTATAGTAAGTTTTCTGATGACACCGTACTGAATGTCATGGTTAGGGTTGATATTAGGTTATTGATTTGTCTATGCAAGGAACTTATTGATTGATTGACCATGAGTTACCACTTGGAAGCGGGGAAAAAGGATGAGGCAATATTTTCTAAAATTTGAGGTGACTGAGCTAAGGATGGAGATTTGTTTGTGTGCAAACTACCGTTTCTTTGAATCACTAAACTGTGCCTCCTGTGCTTGTGTTCACTTTCACTCGTAATTTTAGATTTTGGTTGTTCTTGCTAAGAACTTGTTTTCTTGTTCTTTTATTTTGCTCTGTTTGTTCTTATCAATTTAGTTTTTACCATTGTTTCTTAACAACATATTCCCATGATTGGATGCAGCAAGGGAAAAAACGCACACATACCTTATAGAGACTCTAAGCTGACACGAATTCTGCAAAATTCCTTAGGAGGCAATGCTAGAACTGCCATCATTTGCACTATGAGCCCTGCTCGAAGTCAAATTGAACAATCAAGAAATACCCTTTTGTTTGCTTCCTGTGCTAAAGAAGTAGCTACTAATGCTCAGGTCAATGTGGTGATGTCCGATAAGGCATTAGTAAAGCAGTTACAAAGAGAATTGGCTAGATTGGAAAGTGAGATGAAGAGCCTAGGATCAACTTCAGGGACATATGATTCCGCTACATTGCTGAAAGAGAAAGAGCTGATTATAGAACAGATGGAAAAAGAGATAAGAGAATTGACTCGGCAACGTGATCTTGCTGAATTGAGGATGGAGAATTTGCTACAATCAAGACTAGATGAATATTCAGTATTAGACTCACCAGATGCGCCCAATTCTCTTCATGCAGGACTTGATACATGCAACAAAACTCCCAAGTTTCAGAATTCTGAGAATCCTGAAGGCGATTTTGTGCTGGATGACAGCGCTCCTAATTTTGTTGGGCTTGATCCGTGTCAAGGCTGGGAAGAGACTGCTCAAAAAACTGATGAAGAATTTGAGGGTACCGGCAAGGAAGTTGGATGCAATGAAACAGGAGAATCAAGCATTAACGAGAAAACAGAAGGTAACGTGTTCTCACCTGGTCCTAGAGTAAAAAATGGGAGATTATCTGAGACAGAAGCCACAGATGAGAATGCTGTATCATCCCCATGCGAGGGAGTTGGTGATATTGAAACGGAAGAGTCAAGCATTAAGTGGGAAGAAGAAGCTAATGCGCTCAAACCTGGTCCTGGAGAAAAAGAAGGGAATTTATCAATGACAGAAGCCACAGATGAGGATGCACTATCATCTATCGAAGTGGAAGAGTCAAGCATTAAGAGAGAAACAGAAAATGATGTGTCCTTACAGGGTCCTGAAGAAGAAGGAAAAGGTGAAGTTGCAGTATCACGCCCTCAGAAGAAAGATAAAGAGTCAAGCCCCACAAGTAAAGATCCTACTTACGATGCTTTGAAACAAAAAATTCAGGAACTGCAAAGAACCATCCACTATCTTGTCAATTTATACCCTCAGGAACAAACTCCTTCTTCTTCTGAAGCAGATGCGTGTATCTCCAGTAGCGCAAAAATAAATAGAAGCGCAAGTTGCAGAGCCATTCTCATGTCGACACCATCTTCCCTTGCGTTCGAGAAGGCAGAACACAGTGAGAATACACCACCTAACTGTTCTGTAGAAAACATCGCTGGAAGTCGAAGGCTTTCAGAACTTAAGTATGGTGCCAAGTTTGGAAATATTTCCAGGAAAGATTCTCAAACTTCCATTAGTGGAGCTTCGGTGGAATCACAAAGCTTTAAAGAGTCAGATGCAGACGATACTACTAGCAGTTACGAACATAGTGAGAACACACCTTCTCCTTGGTTTGAGAAGGCAGAACACAAACCAACTGATAGGTCTGAAAAAAGTTTCCACGGAGGGCCAATAGGCATTCCCCAGAAGCTTTCAGAATGGAAGTACGAGATTCAAAATCTTAGCCGAAAACATTCTCAAACTTCTGTTAATAGTGCTTCCATCCAATCACCACGCATGAAAGAGTCAGAAACAGAAGATTCCAGCATCCGCAATTTTGTTCCAGGACAGAGTGAAATGGGCAAAGTTCAGCCTCCGAGAAAATACGGTGATGATCTGGTAAGAACTACCACCCCTTCACCGTGCTCCATCTCTCGCTCTTTCCATTTGACATTCTTTGATTTTCTTGATTCTCATGTTAGTCTTTTTTTGGCTAGCAGTTAATATTGTATTTTTATTTGTTTTGATGGATTCCCAGGAAATGAACTCATGTGAGGAAATAAATGTTGTTTTAGAATTACCAGCACTAAATAACAATATTGTGTTCTAGTTCCTAGGCTTCGAGCATTACTTTACCATATTGTTTAAGAAATATTGCAATATTAAGCAGTTTTTATCTCTTTCGCTTTTGATTCCTATTTAGTGTTTGTATATTTACAGTTGAAAATTCTTTAATGAACTGAGGTCATCTCTTTTTAAAGAACCGAGTCTATTTTGAGATTTATGAGGTTTGCTCAGGATCTTATAGTTTCTCTGAGTGCTATGGATGTAGTCTACTCCTCCTTAGGTAGAGTCATTTTTGACAGAGGTGAAAATAACTATCTGAATATATGTTTTCCGAAGAAAAACTAATCTGATATGTTTCATTATGTCTTGATTCTACTCAAAACAGCTCTCTGATGATAGCATCCCAAGAACAATGAGTCAAGCTAGATAATGAACGTTTCTTGAGATACTTTAGACTAGTTTAACCTATGTGGTGCAAATATATTTGAAATACCATGGGTTTTTATCTTTTATTTTCATGTTTTGGCCTTAATAGCATTCGGGAATGACTGTGTGGTAGGTTCAGAAAGCAGTGATGAACAATATGAAGGACGCTGGATTGAAGAAAGGACAGGATGCTGTGCAACAAGTTTCTACTTGGCCTGCAGAATTCGAGAGCAGACGGAAAGAGATAATTGAACTTTGGAATGCATGCAATGTACCATTGGTACACAGAACTTACTTCTACCTGCTGTTCAAAGGTGACCCATCAGATTCTGTGTACATGGAGGTGGAGCTTAGAAGGCTATCTTTTCTGAAGGGCGGTAATATCAGCAAAGAGAGTTTAAATGCAAGGTATTTAATCATGATTATATATTTGATCCAATCCAAATTGTCAACTACTTTGTTATTTTGTTAAGTAGACATCAACGGAAATTATATGTGACTTGTTGATGGCATAGTTTGAAGGCTCTATATCGGGAGAGAGAAGCGCTGAGCAAGCAAATTCATCAAAAGTTCTCAAGAAGAGAGAGAGAGGAACTATACCAGAAATGGGATATTGCATTAAACACAAAGCAGAGAAGTCTACAGTTAGCACGCCGTATTTGGACATATACAAAAGACTTGAACCATGTAAATGAAAGTGCTTCTCTTGTTGCAAAGTTGGTAGGCTTTGTAAAGCCAGGCCAAGCCCCTAAGGAAGTGTTTGGACTCAGCTTCTTAGCTGGATCTACTAACCGAAAATCATTCTGCTGGATACATAACAAGTCTACTTCTGTACTTACCAAGTCTACTTCTGTACTACTTTAAATTTGTCGATGATAGGGACATACCAACGTGTATATTTGCTAATTTTTTGGGATCTTCTCCATATGCTCCATTTCACTTACACGGTTCCATTTATTGTAAATTGGAAAACTTTCAAGCTGACCTTAGTTATTTGTTAATTTGATATTTTTTGTTGCCACATTATAGTAATCAAATAAATTTGAGAATTTGTAAGCTAGGTAGTGGCTTTGGATTGAGGCTAAATTTTATTATAGCAACATATCTAAGATATAAATATACAATCCAATCAACATCGTTCCCCTGTTGAAATTCTTGATAGATAATCAAATGCAAGATGCTTAAGAGATATAAACTATTATAAAGTACCACATCTAAATTTTGGGGAAAATGTACCTTCCATTATTCAAAGGAATATCAACTAATACCACCTCCATATATAAGGTGACAATAAAAAGATGGCATTATCATATGGCAATAACTATTCTATACATTATTTATAAATGATCTTAGATCCTTCAGTGATTCTCCATCCTGAATTCGAACCTGACATTTCATATCTCGTTGTGTAGGTTGTGGTTTTTGAATCACTGTTCTCTGGATGAACTGTGTCTGTGAGGCTGGCAGACTCTTCTACAGTTGCTTCTACCCAGGCATGCTTCCCATCTTGTGAAAGAGTCACGCTGTCAATGCTCAGGTTTAACAGAGTATAATCATATACCCAACCAAGTTCTGCAATTTCAGCTGCACGATCTCCCCATATCTTTAACATCTGACCACCCAAAACCTGGCAGATTCTTTTAGTGTTAGGAAACACAGATGATTTTCCATGATATGGTGGTCGATCACAACATTTCAGAAACACTTCATTTATTCATGATTTCTATCAGTAATTAGTCAACAACGTATCATAGCCCAGAAGACAGGATCATTTATAAAAAAAACAGATAGAAACACAAAACAGTTGATACTTGATATAGTAGTCCAATGAAGTGTCCCCTTGATGTAAAAATACTAGTCACTCAGAAGATGGTATTATCATAACAAAACAAAACAAAACAAAATAAAAAACGAATAAATGCCATTTCAATGCATATCCCAAATGCTACTAAGAAGGTGAAAGTTCAAAACGCAACACGAGTGTGCGTGTTCAAACAATTACAAAAGAAAACTATAACTGCAAGTTTCTTACCTCAGGCAATTTCACTAGGGAATGATTAGGTCCAAAAGCCTGAGATTTGACATTCTGCCACTTGCGAACTAAATCTTCTGCTAACCTTGTATCCATTCTAGGTAATTCCTCCCCAGAATTTTCATACCTGAAGGACCCTGCACAGTTCATAAAGAAAACAAACTAAAAACTTCAGGAAGATGAAATTTTAGAAGCAAACAAGGAAATATGAAACGTCTGCCATTGCATCAGTTCCTTTGATCAATCAAAAATTAGATTTATGTATTTTGGAAGCTCTCCCATAAAATCAACTGAATGTCCATGAAGACTTATAGTTTTAGAAACATACAAATCAAGAATTTTATCCTGAACCAATAGTTGAAGAGTGAAAAAAAGGCAGGGTAGCAAAGAGGATTTAGGCACAGCAGTTATTCTCACATCACTTGTGAGAAAAAGACATGGCATTAGCAAATATTGAAATGGTTCCAAAAAGGATTCATGTAGGCGACTCTTAAGTAAAAACCATACCCAAATCAGTGACATCAGATGCCTTAGGTAAACCAATTAAATTTCGTAGATCAGATATACTGTTCCTAGCAGGCAAATACTTCAAGCCAGCAAAAGTCATCAACCCAATTACCACACCAGCACTCATAATCTTCACACTAGCATCTTTAATTTTTTCTGTAATCAATTGCTCTTCATTTAATTTATCAGAACTACTTGTTCCAGGAATATCAGCCATGAAAAAATCATCATGATCAAATTTCTCCATAGGCTCATCAGTTTCTACAAGAGGAAAATAATTGGTTCTCTCTCCATCTTGATACTTCATGCTGTTGTCGCGGTGACCAAGAGGAAAAACCTTCTGCAATGCCTGAATTGCACTAGCCTTTACATTATCAAGAACAGCAGAAGCCTCCGCAGCCCCAATTTTAACAATTGCAGCTGCTGCAGCTAAGGGTGAATCACCATTTCCTTGCATCTCTAAATATCTCAGGACGGTGGGATCATCATAGTAATCACGAAGCTTGAACAGCATATCTTTGGTGTCTCTGAATCTGGGGAAAACCACTTCTGTCAACCATGTCTCCAACAGATTACAGAGCCCAGGAAGATCCTTTTCAATGTTTTCATCATCAACCTTTGAGTTCTCCAGGACAAAATTTACAATAGAATGATTTCTGTATGGTGAACTATCACTGTCTAAGCCCAACCATACACGACACCCATCAACATCACCTACAAGCAGTGAACATAGACCCCTCTCCAACGCAAAGTCCAACTCATGATTTTCTTTGGGAGAATAGACAGAGACAGGGTCTCCTAAAGGTACTAGCTTAGTCAGCTGAAGTTGATAGAACATCCTATCTGCAGCTCGAATGAGTTGAGGTTGCTTACTCGCAAAGGCTTGAGCAACAAGTGCAAGTGCCACTCCATAAACTTCAAAACTTTCTGCCGGGATATTATGTGGTGTGGCATTGTACAGCTCAACCTTGTATGGGGAAAAAACATTTCAAAATTTTTGAAAATATTTAGGAAATTGATCGGTATGCATATAAAGGCCAAAGGTGACCTTAATAAGACAATCTAGTCTGCTACCTGCTCGGCTGCTGTCATACGTAAGAAGGCCTCATTCATGAAACCTTCACGAGTGAATCCCCCAGCAATTGCTGGTGCCCCACCTCCTCCAACAGCCCATAATATGTTACGCACACCATGAAGACCCTCTTCTCTTCTTGCACGGTACTTATCACGAAGGGGTAAGGCTAGAAGTTCCAGAACACAACGTGGGGTTATCTCCTCCAAAGTCTCATCAATCTGCGCCTGCAAGTCTGGAGCAAGACTGCTGGCTCCTTCCTCCTACTTAGCCAATATAAGTAATTACAATTAAGCAGTGTATTGAAAGAATGGCAGCAAATTGAGTAAACTGTAGCCACAAAAAACAACTCGCCAACCTCATTTATCAATACTTGAATCATCATAAATTTCCAATCTAAATTAGCCTCAGAAAGAATTAACATTGCTCAACTAGAAGGAAAACATTGTTGGCATTACCTGCAAGAGCTTCAAAGCCCTCTCCAGCAGTTCACAACCTGTGACAAAATTAGGCGGATTCAATGCCATAGCATCCCTAGACATGTCGACATAAGCAAGTGCCATTGCCAAGACAACATCTTGCTTGAAAGACTTGGGCAGTCTTTCTCTCAATAAACTCTCTCCAACTCTAAGCACCAGTTCTGCCTCCCCTGCTTCTTGCAGCACACACAATGCTCCAGGCACCTACCAAATTTCAACACTTATTAGTATTAATAATCTTCCTCTCAAACAAAAAAGAAAATTCGAGAGATCTTTCACTTGTTATTTACTATGTTCAACTCCATTATTCACGTTGAATGAACAAAATAGGCAAAGAAGCAATTACCTTCTCCCAGGGGACTTGAGTGAGGATCGTTTCGTCTACATCATCAACAAGACCTTGATTGTATTCCCTTCTGGAACTAGAGTTAGCTAGGGTTTCACAAGCGCCTTGAAGAATCTGTCTACGGCTGAACAATGCCTCTTGACTAAACCCATATTGAGGTGGTTTAGAAACCCTAGCGTCATATGCTCTTCTTATACCATCTCCCAAAAAATGAGTCTCGGCGCCTAAAATCTATTGAAATTTCATACCATTTGCTCATTAAATTACAAAAAAAAATAAAAATAAAAATAAATTCCGGAAAAAGAAAACATAAATTAAATAAAATACAGACCTGATAGAAATCGAGGGGGATGGAGAGGTGGCGCTCGGGAGGAGAAAGAGGAGGAGGAGGAGGAGTGAGAGTGATAGTGGTTGAGGGGAGAGGAGAAGGGTCAGCGGTGGTGAATTGGAAGTCAGAGATGAGGCGGTCAGCCCACTTGCTGGCGGAACAAACGGTGTAGCAACCAGCATTGGAAGAGTTGAATTTGGAGGGTTTACGAGGGTGAGGTAAAGGAACTAGCAGTGGACTTCGAAGACCAAAGTCAATATGTCTCAGAGTCAGACCTTGGATATGCATTGCACTTTCCCTTTTTATTTCGTGAGCTTCAGCTTAAACCCTTGCTTCAGGTGTTCGGATTTATTAAAGGTGTGACGATATCCTACTTTTCAGGCGTAGGTAGGTCTCTTCTCTTGTATAATTTATCTGGGAGCAAACGACATGTTCCCACCCAAGATTTAGCCAAATCCCAAGTTCATACCCCTAGTTCTATTTATTCCATATTTCCACCCTTAAACTAACACTGTAAGTTAATTTTAAATTTTAATTTATGCAATTACCATCTTACCCTTCGTTCTTATTTCACCCCACCCAACCACCATCAGTCTCACCATCCAGCCACCACCACCACCCACCAAACCCACTCGATCGCCGTTCAGGCCCAATTTGGCCTAATTCCGACGCCAATTGACCAACCCAACACCACCTTCAGGATCCTCTCATCTCCCTCTCGAAAACCCCTCTCATCTCTAACTATTTGCTGCCACCGTTCGTCGACCATCGCGATCCCCCACCCCATAGATCCCGTAAAGCACAGCCTGGGCGTATTCTTAAATCAGTCCAGCTGCCGTCCTTTTTGCCACTTTTCTAGCTTTTTTTTCACCCAAAGCCACCACCATCTGCCTCCCTAAACCTCCCACATCAAAACTCCAGCCTTTCCTCAATTAAAACCAACCATTCCAACCTAGAAAACACCGACCACATTTAGGTTTTTCTATGCGTTGTGCGATTGTCTCCAACCGGATTCTGGCTGATTTTGGCGGCCTCAACCCCAAACGACACCACCCTTGCACTCATAAGCATCTCCCCTTCAAAACCCCCATCCTTCCCAACCATGATTGCTCGTTGTTCATCGCCGCCACTCAACTTTGGGTTTTGTGAAATTAGTTGAAATGGGAGTTTGATTGGGTCGTGGAGCTGATTTTTTATTTAGTTTTTTGTCTGAAGTTTTAGTTTGACTGTTGTGTGTTGTGGTGAATGTGTTGGGAAAGAAGAAGGGTCGAATATGGTGGTGGTTTGGCTGGCTAGTGTTGGGAAGAAGAATGGCCGACTGTGGTGGTGGTGGTTTGGAAGCAAACAGTTAGAGATGAGAGGGGTTTTCGAGAGGGAGATGAGAGGATCCTGATGGTGGTGTTGGGTTGGTCAATTGACGTCGGAATCAGGCCAAATTAGGCCTGAATGACGATTGAGTGGGTTTGGTGGGTGGTGGTGGTGGTTGGATGGTGAGGGTGAGGGTGATGGTGATTGGGTGGGGTGAAATAAGAACGAAGGGCAGGATGGTAATTGCACAAATCAAAATTTAAAATTAACTTACAGTGTTAGTTGAAGGGTGGGAATATGGAATAAATAGAACTAGGGTATGAACTTCGGATTTGGCTAAACCTTGGGTGGATTATGTTAAACGTTGATTATCTTCACAATAGTCATGGAAGGCCCAACCCTGCTCGGTGTTGCTTTGAGGGAAAATGACTGGGCCTTGGTCCCGTTGATTTCAGTAGAATAGGACTTTTTTTAAACACAAAAAATCACATGGCAGGCACTGAGTCATGTCTAGAGATTTCTTTTCAGCAATAAATTTAAAATGATGTTTACCATCTATAACACAGTGGGTGGATTATCACTGAAATTAATTTACAGTGAAGCATCTGGTTTACATTAGTGAAGACTAACTTTTGGCAATGGCAGCTAACATGTGGATGTGGGTTGTTAATGAATATGATAACAAAATTGGTCCTCAATGACTTGTGCAATCATAATTGACAATCTAGCATTATGAGAGAGAATTAATACAAAACAACTTAACAATCATGTCTTAACACTTTTTCTTTTTTCCTCAATGATGCTTCCATGGAAGCCCACTAAGCTCAAAGGCTGATGCCCCTAATTGTTTGTTGGATAATAGTTGATTGGTTTCTCACTAAAATTCCAGAAATTATGGAATTGAATAGTGGTTGTTGGCGTGAGTGAGTCATTAATTGCAAGGAAATTGTAGTGTGCCTAATTTAACATACTATGACTATCTCTAACTTATCATTTGGCCTCACTGTTTATGGCTAAAAGTACCTGACGGTGAAAAAAACAAATATCAAACATCTCACAAAGGCAAATACTTGATGTTTGTTGGTTTGCTGAATATGGAGCCAAAGGATACAAGTATGAAGGCTTGGGATGAAGCTCAATTTAGTCCAGTATAAGAAGGAAATTATGACCTTGTTATTGCAAGGTTTTGGCGAAGTCTGGATAGTTGTTGTAAAAGTCTAAGTTAAAACAGCTAAAAATTAGCTGTTAATCATGAGAGAGGAGAGGAGCCGAAAAACTCAAATTAGCCAATCAAAAGTAGGGATAATTGACTTTCCACCATGCATGAAATAGATCTTTGCCATTGTTGAAGGAAGGAGCAGAAAGTAATAAGAATCATTTCCAACTCAGTTTGATGATTCTAATGTCTAATTTTTACCAAAAATCGTCACATTCCATGTTCAGAAAAGCATTTGGTCGACTATATTATACTTGAAACTCCAGTTTCTTTTATCAAATTCTTTGACACTTGGCATAATAGATTATTTGAAAGGGACTGTGATGAGTTGCAGCACCCAGTAGTCAAAGAAGCACATTTTGCAAATTAAATATTGTCATGAAATCTAGCATCGGCTGACCCAAATGCAAGTGGCCAAGTCACAAAGACCAACACCCTCTATTAGACTGTGAGGTGACAATACGAAAACCCCTCGTGATAAGATAGCACAAGACTTAATGATTTCTTCCCTATGACAAACAAGTTAAAAAAAAAAAAAGCCCCAGTTGTTTTCCTTAAATTAAAAATAAAAATAAAAACGCTGTGCACCTTTTTGGGAAGTGAGAACGAAACCCAACCAAACCAAACCAAAAACACAGTAGAAAAGATTGAAAGAGAAAGGGAACCCAATTAAATAAACACACAAAACACACTTGTGGCGTAACAAAAGGCGTCGTTTCTGTCAAGCACTGTTTCCACTCCACTCCACTCCACGATCAACTCTCTGCTACTACTAACACACGCTCCTCCTCAAACCCCACCATCACTTCTACTCTCCTAACAACTATTTTCTTCACTCTTCACCCTCCACCACCACGACCACCATTCCATGGCAACAGTAACGGCTATTTTTTTCTTTCTCATACTAACCCACTTCACTACTACAACCCTTGTTGTCTACGCTCAGCCCAGCGCCTTGGTTTTATCGGAGATACAAGCCTTGACTTCCTTCAAGCGCAACCTGAGGGACCCTCTTGGTGCACTTGACGGCTGGGACTCGTCCACGCCGTCCGCTCCCTGTGACTGGCGCGGCATTGTTTGTTATAACAACCGAGTTCGCGAGCTTCGCTTGCCTCGCTTCCAACTCACTGGCCGACTCACTGATGAGCTCGCTAACTTACGTGAGTTGCGCAAATTAAGCCTCCACTCTAACAACTTTAATGGCTCAGTACCTACTGCTCTTTCTCAATGCTCTCTCTTACGCGCTATCTACTTGCAATACAACTCACTCTCCGGTACTCTCCCGCCCTCCATTTTTAACCTTACAAATTTACTAGTCCTCAACGTGGCTCATAATCTTCTCTCCGGGAGAATCTCTGGTGATATTTCACCATCTCTCCGGTATCTGGATTTATCATCAAACACCTTTACGGGTGCTATGCCGGGGAATTTCTCATCAAAATCTCAGCTTCAGCTCATTAATTTATCGTATAATTTATTTTCCGGTGAAGTTCCGGCGAGTGTTGGTCAACTTCAAGCGCTTGAGTATTTGTGGCTGGACTCAAATGATTTGTATGGTACACTGCCTTCGGCCATATCAAACTGTTCTTCGCTTATACATTTAAGCGTGGAAGATAACGCGCTTAAAGGTTTGGTTCCGGGCACTATTGGGGGCATTTCTACGCTTCAAGTGCTGTCTTTGTCGCGAAATGAACTCTCGGGTACGGTTCCTCTAAGTTTTTATTGCAGTGTTTGGGGTAATTTCTCTTCTTTAAAGATTCTTCACTTGGGGTTTAATGCGTTCACGGGTGTTGTTAAGCCGCAAAATGGAAAATGTGTTAGTGGTTTGGAGGTTTTGGACCTCCAAACAAATCGCATACGTGGCGTGTTCCCATCTTGGTTGACTAATGTGACTACTCTAAGAGTGTTGGATCTTTCTGGAAATTTCTTTTCTGGGAATCTACCGTTTGCCGTTGGTAATCTTGTGAAGTTAGAGGAGTTTAGAGTGGCCAATAATTCTCTGTATGGGTTAGTTCCTAATGAGATTTCGAAATGTAGCTTGTTACAGGTTATTGATCTTGAAGGAAATCGGTTTTCCGGTCAAGTTCCTGCTTTTTTGGGTGGATTGGGGACCTTAAAGACTCTATCTTTGGGAAGGAATATGTTTTCCGGTTCGATTCCCATGAGTTTTGGGAATCTTTCTCAGCTTGAAACTTTGAATTTGAGCGAAAATGATATCAGAGGAAATGTACCGGAAGGGATAATGACGTTGATTAATTTGACTACTTTGAACCTCAGTTACAACAGATTTGCAGGGGAGGTTCCTCATAATGTGGGGAACTTGAAGAGTTTGCTGGTTCTTAATTTGAGCGCTTGTGGGTTTTCTGGAGAGATTCCTGGGAGTATTGGGAGTTTGATGAAACTATCTACTCTGGATTTGAGTAAGCAAAATTTGTCTGGCGAATTGCCTATTGAGCTTTTTGGGTTACCGAGTCTGCAAGTTGTCAGACTTGAAGAGAACAAGTTTTCCGGGGATGTTCCTGAAGGCTTTAGCAGTTTGGTTAGTTTGCAATATCTGAATCTCAGTGGCAACGCCTTTACTGGTGAGGTTCCGGCAACCTATGGATTTCTTCCGTCATTGGCTGTTCTCTCATTGTCCCGCAATAGAATTTCTGGGGTGATTCCAGCAGAGCTTGGTAATTGTTCTGGTCTTGAAGTGCTTGAGCTTCGTTTGAATCGTTTGAGTGGCAATATTCCAATTGATATCTCTCACTTATCTCATATGAAGAAGCTTGATTTGGGTCAGAATGATTTATCTGGTGAAATCCCGAAGGAGATCTCTAAATGTTCATCTCTGGCTTCTTTGTCATTGGACGTAAATCACCTATCAGGCCACATACCAGACTCATTGTCAAAGTTATTGGACCTAACAGTGCTAAATCTTTCTGCAAATAGCCTGAGTGGAGTAATTCCGGCAAATTTATCTCACATATCTAGCTTGAAATACTTAAATTTGTCAAGGAATAACCTTGAAGGTGAGATTCCGAAAGTGCTAGGTTCTCGGTTCAGTGATCCTTCTGTATTTGAAATGAATCGTCAACTATGTGGAAAGCCATTAGATAGAGAATGTGCAAATGTAAGAAAGAGAAAAAGGAAGAGGCTGATTATATTGATCTGTATTACTGTAGCTGGAGCTTGTATTTTGGCATTGTGCTGTTGTGGCTATATCTATAGCCTCTTACGTTGGCGCAAGAAGCTTAGAGATAAGGCAAGTGGAGAGAAGAAGCCAAGCCCTGCACGCGGAAGCTCAGGAGCTGAAAGGGGTCGTGGAAGCGGAGAAAATGGAGGACCAAAACTTGTTATGTTCAATAACAAAATAACATATGCAGAGACATTGGAAGCTACGAGGCAATTTGATGAGGAAAATGTACTAAGCAGAGGAAGATATGGTCTTGTATTCAAGGCTTCATTTCAAGATGGAATGGTACTCTCAATCCGTCGCCTCCCAGATGGCTCCATTGATGAAGGAACCTTCCGTAAAGAAGCTGAATTGCTAGGCAAGGTGAAGCATCGGAACCTAACTGTGTTACGTGGCTACTATGCAGGACCACCTGATGTAAGGCTGCTTGTTTATGATTACATGCCTAATGGAAACTTAGCCACTCTTCTTCAAGAAGCGTCTCATCAAGACGGACATGTGCTAAATTGGCCTATGCGTCACCTCATTGCACTTGGCATAGCTCGTGGACTATCATTCTTGCATTCACTTGACATGGTTCATGGAGATTTGAAGCCGCTGAATGTCCTTTTTGATGCTGATTTTGAAGCTCATTTATCCGAATTTGGACTAGACCGGTTAACTATAGCAACGCCAGCTGAGGCCTCAACATCTTCTACTCCAATTGGTTCTTTAGGCTATGTGTCACCTGAAGCAGCATTAACCGGTCAACCAACAAAAGAAGCTGATGTGTACAGTTTTGGGATTGTATTGTTAGAGATACTAACAGGGAGAAAACCGGTTATGTTTACACAAGATGAAGATATAGTAAAATGGGTGAAAAAGCAATTGCAAAGGGGCCAAATTTCAGAATTACTAGAGCCGGGACTACTGGAATTAGACCCTGAGTCATCTGAGTGGGAAGAATTCTTGTTAGGTGTTAAAGTGGGGCTTCTTTGCACAGCCCCTGATCCACTTGATAGACCATCAATGGCCGACATTGTTTTCATGCTTGAAGGTTGCAGGGTAGGACCAGATATGCCGTCCTCAGCTGATCCCACTTCACTACCTTCCCCAATATGAAAATTTTTGTTGTAATTGATACTGAATCACTTCCGTGAAGAAGTCAATTCTTTGGACATTTATCTTTTGTCTATTTAAGATATATGTGTGTTGTATCAAAAATCATTCCTTTTTAATACTTAAAGATTGTCTTTTTTCTATCTTTATTTCCCCTTTGACCCAACGGCGCCGTTGCGGGTTCCACTGAATTCCTATGTTTCCGTAAGTAAATGGGTGATAAAGCCCATTGCTCATTCCCGCCAAATGAATAAGGAATCCCACGTGGCGAGTAATAAAGGCAGGGGAAAGTAGCCGTTAATGTGAGTAGCTGAAGACCGAAGCTGAAAGTGTCTTTATCGAAAAAAGAGAGATGGCGTCAGGATCCGTGAATGTGTTGAGCTGCAGTCTGACAAGGCCGAAGACCAAACAGGAGCCCTTAGATTCTTTGGGTTCTTGCCACGTAGGCTTAATTAGTGTATTGACCAGCACGTGGTCCCTGCTTAGTGAAACAATAATTTGGTGGCACGGAAGTTGTATGGTTTCCGGTATTGGGTCCCACTTTATCAGCTATAATTTTTAAATTCTGTAGTAAATACAGATAGATGATAAATAGACAGAGTCTGTGAGTTTTTGTGTTTGACAGGGTATTCAATGCGTCTTCTGACTTCAGAATTCAGACCCGACCCCACTATTTTTAATCGGGTCATGACAATGGACAGGGCAACACTATTTATACTGAATCTTTCAATCTGTCATCATCAAGTCCGAGTTAGACATTAATTTACAGCATTTCATTTTCACCCACTCTCTCAAAACTAGTCAATGCAATAAAATGGCCAAATTTCAGTGCTCATAAATCATACACATTACTGTTTACACACGGTTCGTCTTACGCCATTTAATTTGCAGCTGAAACATTAAGTGTTTTACTCCAGGATTGCTCTTTTGCTCTCAAATTTAAACCAAAGCTTCCCAACCAATTAGGCTGGTTAGGGAGGAGTTAATAAGCTCAAACTAGAAAATTTCAGTGAGCTCCTTATTTTGTTGCAGACTCGTAAACTATTGATTGTCCCTGGGCTCCAGCTAGCTAATTGCTACGAGCAGCATGAGTTTCTTCAATCACCAGCCTGGCTGGCAATGGCTGGCATGATTAAAGTCTTACATTGATCCTATTCTATTTCTACATCTGCCCATAAAAATGTTATGGTTGGTTCAAAGATAAATATCTGGTATGCATGAATACATCTAGACAACAGATAACCAAGGCATAAAAGAATCTACACATTAACATTACAAATCACTTATTCAGTGTTAATGTACAAGGCTGGAGACTACATGGGCGTAAAGAATGTCTTATTGCCAGAAAGAATTTGCTTATCTGACCAATTAATTCATGTAATTAAATTATACAAATTGGCAGGGAAAGGTAAAACCTGTCATTTTCTAGGCTGATGAAAGACCTTCAGGAAAAGATTCATTATCAGGGTCAGGTGAAAGAAACCTCCTGCAAGCATAGAACATGGCTGCGTGGAAACCATTTGGGTTATCTACGAACACAAAATGCCCAGCCTGCATATTTTTATCATAAATAATTTAGCAGCCTTAATAAATACAGAGAGAAAAAAGCCAGTGGGAGAGAGTGAGTAGACGAGATATACCTGGGGGACCCTAATAATTTCACAAGGAACTTTCATATGCTTGCGGGCTTCTTGCGCACCTTGATAGTTCATCCAATCTTTGACACCATATATGAAAGTGGTTGGCACTTTCCAATCTGATGCACTGTAAACAAAAGAATGGAACAGATCAGACATAAAAATTTCACCTCCCAACTAATTGTATATTGAGATCAAGAATGTCAAACAAAACTAAGTCCCACTTAACTGAAAATAAATATGGCGTCATCCTAAGACATCCAATAGTGGATCCAAGACAGTGGCCCTAAACTCATAAATCATTGTAAGGGCAAAAACAGATGGCCCTTAGCAAGACAATGAGAGGAGTCTCTCGGATGAAAGGCATAGACTACACAAACAATAAATTTAGATGGTACCATTCCTATACATTTGTAGAAAAGGGATATTTCCCCATTCTTTGGGCCAAAGGGGCTGGCCAATATGGTCCACTAGACTCCCAAGGGAAACCACCATATGTGAACAGCCAGCAAACACCTAAATTCTACCTCATCACTCTGGAAACCATTACCCAGAGAGAGGCACCATTAACTTCAGTATTTTGAAAACTTGATACAATCAATTATTACATTTCACACACACACACACACACACACACACCCCTAAATTCTACTTCACCACTCTGAAAACCATTATCCAGAGAGAGGCACCATTAACTACAGTATTTTGAAAAAAACTTGATACAATCAATTATTACATTTCACACACACACACACACAAAAAGAGTAAATAAATAAAAGAATAATACTTGAGAATCAACGTCTTGCTTTCTTCACTGCTAATATAAAGAAGATACTACCAGATATTATAATTTGAAATCAACAAGATTAAAGCATGTAACATAACAAAAAGCAAGAGAACTTGATCATTGATGTTAAGAGATAAGTTTAGATCAAGCCGGAGCATCGAACCTGTGTAGAAGAGGCATCCGAGCAAATGCCCCAAAAGAGAATATGTATTTCAAGCACAGCTCTCCACTAGCTTTGGCAGCTAAAGTATGATATACATAATCTTCAATTGAGAGAAGAAAAAAGTAAGATACCTATTAATGTATGTGTGCCATACACAAAATAAAAAATCTTTTTATACCTGTTAACAATCTGGACTCCTCTTCATTCAATATGCTCTCAGATGTGTATCCACCAAATCTAGCACTAGTATACCTACGTACAAGATCTGGACCAAAAGGACCTAAACCTCTGCAAAAAGAAATAAAAATAAATAAATATCCAAAGCCACAACCAAGGAATAATACAGGTAACTCAAACCTATCTGAAATCATTTATGGTATACAAAAAGGCCAGAAATGATTTCTCAAAACACCAAGGGAACGTCAAACATAATCAAACTTGGATAGAAGGTATAAAAGAATTGGAAATTACAACTGCCACCAAGTTTAAATAAATGAAAACTATGCTCAACAGCTACAGGATGAATTAGAAAGTCAATTTGAATAAAGAATCCCCAACTGAAGTTTTATATTGATAAACAATAAGAAATCTGATCTCATAGCAAGTTTAATGGCTAAAACATTTGGTGCATGTTCATAACATTAATGCAGAGAGCATGATCAAAAATAAAGAAAAAGACACAAACACAAACACACATATGGTCAACAAGCCAACCTAACAATCTTCTGAGGAGTAAAATTAGACTCCCACAAATGGTTCAAAATTGCTCCTTTCCATGTTGCCCTGAACCTGGTAAGCCACTCAGACGTAGCATCTGATTCTGATGAAAATCCAGCAGGTCCAACTAAAATCAAGTGCTCAACGTGCTCTGGATGCTGAAATAAATACAATTATCATCAGAAAAGAAAAAGTTACCATCATATTACTCTTAGGATCTGGAAACAAATTAAGATGGGAAAGTAATCACCTTGAGAGCATATCTAGCAGCTACATACCCTCCCAACGAATGCCCAAGTAATATGAAGTTGCTAAGGTTTTTGGCTTTGCGCCATTCCTCAAAGGAATCAATAAACCATGCCTCAGTTTCTGTGATATCAAACAGATTACAGATTAAATTCTTGTATGTAGTAACCTATCTCTAGATAATAGAGTAGTATAATGAGCACTTTCCAAAAACTCAAGGCAAAAACAACCAACAGGAAGTAGTACAAAATCACAACTAACCTTCCGTGCTTTTGCATGTAAAGTCAGGTCTGCTTGATCCACCCCAACTGCAAAAAGGGTTAGGTTAAGAACCAATGTATGTAATTACGAACCTAAAGCCTGAAGAGTTCATTGTGAGGGCTATATGAACAAAATGACTAAAAAACGGAAGAAAAGAAACCTAATTCTATAATACATTGCAGAGGTTAAGAACCAACCATAAGAAATGAACACAGACCCCAGCTATGTAATCTTATTAAAGTTACAAAGTTCTTAAAAAAAAAGCCCAAAAATGGGTCACCATATTTGCTTCAATGGCAGTTTGGCACCAGCCAACAGGAAGACTACAATTTAGCATTAAGCTATTGAGTTTCAGCATCCCTTACACATGCAATGAACCATAGACAAAAGTAACCAAAGAGAAACTTCCCATTTCATTAGCAAGATCTTTAGTCAATATCAATGGAACTATCAAGATGGTGAACTGTAGAAGCTCAATAAAATTAAACACTATACAAAGCACTTACTATCAATACGACCACAAGCATTAAACATACCAACAAATTTCAGAACTAAGGCTTGTAGCAAATCATACCATTTAGGACACATGGAATACCATAATCAAGCATGCCATAATGTCAAATCTTACCCGAGTTGATCAACTGCTATGACCCTGAATCGACTAGCTAGAGCATCAAAATTGCGAAAGAAGAAGCCTTGAGATGCAGCATATCCATGAACCATTACAAGAGTGGGGGAGCCTTCTTTGCTGTCAAAAGTAACCGTGTTGATGAACCTTGGCTCATCGCTTGAAGAACGGAACCACCGGATTTTCGACCCAGGTGGACCTGAACCTATATTAACTTTCTCTTGAACATATGGAGTCCTGAAATTTGAGTGATTCACCCATCATCCCACGTCAATAAAGCTCTCATGAGCTATAAACAAATACACATACACGTGAAGCTGGAGCGAATCAATTAACATATGCTACCTAAATTTCATCATGTCTATAATATTTTTGGAACACTTTTTTCTCAAGAAACTTTAAAAAATAGAAATTGAAGTAAACTAAAAAATATATATATTAAATTAAATAAAAAAGGGAAAATTAAATGGTTTCGAGTTGGAATGATGAACAATTTGGTCTATAAATAAGACATTACAATTGCGGGCTAATATAACCAGAATCCAACATAAATAATTAAATTAAGAAAAATAAAATAAAGTTTTGTAGAGAGAAGAATTACTTGACTAGAGAGAGAAGACGTTTTTCGGCAGCGATAATATGATCGGTGGAAGTGGGGATCCAACGGAGAACAGAGGGCAAAAACCATCTAGATTTAGCGGTTGTAGATGTTTCTGATGAGGTAGAAGAAGCAGATGATCGTAGCTCGGTCTTGCTTATTTCTTCAGCCATTTTTGAAATAGAAGTAGACCACCGACTCCGAGGACGAATCAGATTCATAAGATTGGGAATCAAAGCAAATGGTTTTGCGATTCAAAGGCGCTGTTATTTATATACATATCGCCACGTTGAATTTTAACCCACACAAAAGCTTGGAACTTTCGTGTGGCGGGTGGGCGAGCGCTAGATTTAGTAAAATTTGAGGGGCAAAGATGACTTATCACTGACGTATGCAGTGACGTTACGTGGCACGTGCGTAACGACAGAGCCTTTCCTTTTCTTGAACCTCAAGTATGGAAAATCTTATTCGACATCTACCAACTGAATATTGGTTTTTGTTAACGAGGATCTCGATTAATCTTTAAAAGAGGTTAATACAGTATTCTGCATCCCCGAGGTCAAGGCAGCACTAAGGGCAGCTTCTTTTAAACCTCACATGTCAAGATTTTTTTCCTCAAAATGAATTTTTTTTTTATGTAGTAGTGTATTTAGTCCCACAAATTTTTCTCTTAATTTCAAAAAAAATTCAAAAATTGTAATTAGCTACATTGTAAAGCTGGAAGACTCCTGATAATGAGGGAGAGGGGGGCGGGTGCAGCTTAGTAGGTTACTTGTAGACTGAGAGATGCACCGTTTTTTTTCGTTTAATATTACTATTACATTGCAGTTAATGAGGAAATAATCGAGGTGTTTAAAACAATTCTCCCGTTAAGAAGCTTTACAAGGCTACAGGTGGATATAACAGTTTCATTAATGATTTTAAGCCCAGAACTTGAAGCCAACCCTCTCTCCCTCAGATTCCCGAACAGCCATACTACTTCAGATTTCAGCTGTAATCCTACTGCACCACTGCCTCTAATTACAGGATGTCAAAACACAAATTTCTTTTATTTTGAGTCGTTTACTGGAGGCTTTAATCTCAGACTGCTATCTGGCATAAAACTAAGTAACAGAAAAGTATAGCAAAATAATTATAGGCAACTTTCTATGAAAATTACAACTGAATCCACAAAAAGCAAAGCATTTAACATTAAACAATGACAACATTATTTTATTAACTGAGGAAACTAATTTCTACTTCTACATTCTACCGTCAGTTTCCAGTTCCACAGTCATTCAATCCGACTGGTAGAATAATCACTCACACCCACAGACGATAAATTTTGAAGTTGATAATACTTCAGTAGAGTACCACTTCCAACCACAGAAAATATGAACTAATTCTTAATGACAGGCCACAACAACAGTAAGCAGAACACGCTCTACTCTAATCAGCTCTTGACTGACCAGCTCGGGAAGAGAGAATGATGCCAACAATGAGACCATACAAGGCCAGAGCTTCAGCGAAAATGAGAATGAGAATCATCCCTACGAAAAGCTTGGGCTGTTGTGCATTGGCTCTGCACATTACAAGTTGAAGTTATGATAAATCTTCAGTTAAAAGTTATAAGCCGACCAACTCCCAAGAAAAACAGAAGCAAATGGCCATAAAAATAAAGATAATGAAACATTTAAGACAAAATTAGAAAACAGCATAATACAATAACAAATATAAAAAAACATATAGCATAGAGCATCCGGCTCATAATGAGATAATTCCAAACAGAAAGTCACTGACTTCACAAAGGAAGTGAAACATGGCACATATTTAATCAATATATTGTATCCAATCAAAGTTACACTGCTACAAAATATCAATCATTCTATACTGTAAGCAATCCAAATTAAAGCAATTTACCAATTTAATTTTTCAGGTAGATGACTGAGATAGGAAAGAAAGATTATACCTAACACCAGCATCACCGACGATTCCGATCGCCATACCCGCAGAGAGACCAGCGAGGCCACAAGCGAGACCAGAAGAAAGATGGGCATAGCCATCAAAGAGGTAATAAGATTTAGCCTTAGGGTTAATCCCAGTACTAATAATAACAGCAATAATCAAACCGTAAATACCCAACACTCCAGCCATGACCACCGGCACAATAGACTTCATCACCAATTCTGGCCTCATCACTCCCATCGACGCCACACCTACTCCACTTTTCGCTGTTCCATATGCAGCTCCCATACCTGCTTTGTAGCCACAAGAAATTAGATTCCAGTAAGCAACCAGACTGGATTTACATGCTCAGGTTTGGGTATATTATGCATTATCTTCAGTTCTTCTATAGCTTGCACATGTTTGGCTTATTATTCAACGTTTGTTACATCATGATGGCTTAAGAAAATTGTGATAATGTTTTTATGAGTATTAATTTTATAGTGTCTTTAATGGTCACAGAATATAAATGAGCCCTATATATTGGCCAACATAATTCTAATTGATTTACAAATTTGTGGTGGTGATGGGACAATCATAATTTATCTTTCAACATTGCTTGGCCTAGTATTAAAGAATGATGGTTACTTTTATGTTTGGTGGTTATTTTGTTGCCCTCTATTCAATTGATGGTTATTTTGATGGGATCAGTCACAAATTTTGCCTTGTTTGGTAGCTACTTTGATGTTCTCTGTTCAATTGACAAAATATTAAAGAATGGTATATTTTTCTGTGTAGGGTATGATTCCAGCTATGATTTCAAGTGTAGAGCTGTTAGAAAGATGGAGACATCATGAAGGCAAAAGCTCTGTTTGGTTCAGTCTTTAAAAACTATCAATGTTTTCTCAATAAATGTAACAGCAAAAGTTGCGTTGGTTCACATATCCATCAAAAGATTCTCAATATTACTCAGTATTTTTTGACCGTTTGTGAATTTTCGCTATTATTTCTCCCAACACAACTGATATCTTTAATGCATCTTCATCTTTTTATTACTGCACACACCCGTGACTTCCTCTCGCTCAGTCCATCAACCAAGCACAAAACACACTGAAATAACTTTTCCTCCTTCTCGCCCAACTGCTACTGAGCTTTTCAGTTCCTTCTTCTCTTCATTTACTCCACTATTCTCCACCAAAGTAGAGCCGTAAATCCCTTCCCCTCTCTCAGTCCATCAACCAAGCAAAGCACCCATTTTTCTTCTCTTCTTCACTAAAAATTTCAGATCATACAACAAAGTTTCAGACTCAGCCCAAACCCATAGAACACTTTCTCCATCCTGCCGTCAAGAATCGTTGCTGCGTTTCCAATCTTTCAGATCCGAATACAACTCAGCTCATATCCTCCATTTCGTCATCAACACTCAGATTCGGCTTTGGACCTAATTGAAAATCTTTCAGTTCTTCTTCTCAGGTTAGTGATCTCTTTGTTTTTTTACCGCAGTTTCCCATCTCTGTCTCTCTTTCCAATCAGTAATAGTCTTTATAAGTTGACCAGTTCATATCTCCCATTTGATGCGAACTTGACACCTAACCAGTTTTTTGAATTTCTGCCATTGAAGAATTAATTAACTGAGGCAATGGAGAGTACTTTTTGCTTGAACTAATTACTTTATAGCTAGGGTGAAAATTAATTAGGATGCAGTGGGGGTAGGGATCGGACTTTGCTATGTGTGTGTAAGCTATGGAATATATTTAGATTATTTTTGTAATTTTTATATTCGTGAAATGAGACAGTTTTTATTGTTTATGATGCATAGAATTACTGCATAAATGCATTTGGACCATGTTGGTTAAGTCAATGAAAGCTGCATTTAAGAGATATTAATAGCTATGGCGAGGTTGATATATAGACGGAAAAAACTAATTTACATTATCAGTAGTTGGTTTGAATTTTGTACTTTGCTTTGTTTACTCACTAAAATTGTATTTAATGCTAGGTACTATTTTTGCTGCCTAATTTGAACTCATTACTTTTAAGTTAGCATGCTCTTGTCAGCTATTACCTACAACATGGTTAGTTTGCATGGATATCTTTGGGGAGTAACTGATCTCTATTAATGATGCTTTCTTCAAGTTTTCTAGGAGAAATCCTTCATGCTGCAATTTATTGATGTTTACTATGAAATTACTATCTGTCTCAAACATTTTTAGATCATTCATATTGCATTTTTTGATATGAGGTGGCCTTGCAATTAGATCATAAAGTGGGACAAGGAACTGGTCCAGATTTTCCATTGCTTGATGAGCTCTATTCAACCCCCATCATGCACTATTTTCTTATTCATTCCAGAAACTAATAATGGTTTGAAGGGTGATAATTTGTCTAACTTATGATTAATCATTTTGTAGGTTGATAAACTGCAAGTTCATCACAATAGCTACTTACAATGTCATGAACACATGTACATATCACTCGCCCACCATCGCAGGTTGATCATTACTTTCGACACCAGAAGACAATTCGACGTTTATTCGGAATTGGGGTACACAGAAGACCTTGTGGTCTCCTTGACCGTCGTGCTCCCCGTACTTTCCGTTGAAAGCAGTGTTGGGTCAAACAAGGTAATATTTTCTATATGTTTTGTTTATAATGTTACATGTTGCATATGTTCATATTGATATGTATCCTAATTGTTACAATATTTCAATCATGATTGTTGTTCTCACCCTACTATTATTAGATGAGTGAGTCCGTTCAATGGACTGCTGAACTCACTCATAGGTTTTTAGAACTGTTGGCTGAGTGGGTGAAAACAACCCACGGTACTGCAATAAGAGCTTCTGACCATAGGAGGATTAGTGAACAATTACAAATGTAGCACAGAAGAAACTGGAAGTGCAATAGTTGGCTTCTAAGTACCAACGCTTGCAATTGACATACAGGTCTTGGCGTATGCTAATAGAACATACGGGGTTTGGTTGGGATCATGAGTCTTAAACTCAACATGTCCTAAAGAGATATGGGAAGAATATATAAAGTAAACACACTTTTCCTTTTTCCAATTCTTATAACGCAGTAGTCGGTATGCACTTTTTGTTTTGGGAAAATAAAATTAATGTATGTTTGTTTTTCAATAACAGCAAAACCCTAGTGCGCAACAATTCCTACATAAAGGACTTGTTGATAGAGAGTTATATGAGGTCATATTCTAGAAGCAAATGCAACTGGCAGATTTGCTTTCACATCTGCATCTGAACCTGCGGCATCCACCATGTGTTTTCCGATCCTATCGAGGCAAACATGAATCAAGATGACTTTGAACTTGATCCAGATAGATCAACTAGAGAAAATGATCTAATAGGTCTGGAGATAGCGATCTGTAAATAGGAGGAGAAGAAGGAGAGACGGGGAGGGAAACCCATTTTGTGTGAGACTCAGTTTGCGAAAGCTATTTCCAATAAGACTATGGGATCTGCGGCATCAACTTGCAGTGGCAGTGATGGGAACCAAGAGAACACAAGTGTTAGGACGGATCGTATTCCCTGGAAAATTGTCAGGCAATTTTGGAAAGTACGCAACTTCCATCGCAAGTATATATTTGGATGCTTTGAAGTACTTAATTGCCAACCTAGAGTGGCGTTAGCTTATGTTGAACATGTCACATGCGAACAGGGAATTTTGGGTTTATAATGATATCCGCCGTACGTGGATGACGGTTTAGGACTTCCTTATTGAACTTGTTTTCGCTTGTTAGTCTTTATGATTCTGTTGACATCTGAGATATTTTATATTTACTTTCTTCGTATTACAGACTTAACTTGCTTTGTTCTAAGAACCGATACACCATCTATTGTTGTGCGGCTAATATATTAAAATTGAATGTTATTTATATTTTGGTATTAAAAAGTATGAACTAATGGAAGCAATTATTACAATGGACAGGTTTAGATGGCATCGTTTAGCCATACAAACCATAATCAAGATAATGAGAGTGACGAAGTACAGTTTTATATATATGCTGCAACTGCATTGTGTGGGCTATTACATATGAAATGGAGTTTAGCATGCAACCACGCCAACCTATAAATATATCTTCATTAAATGGTCACGATTATATGGTGGAACTACTAAATGGTCATCCTAAAAGAATTCACAAAAGTGTCGCATGAGCAAAAGGTTTTCAAACCTTATGTTATATATTGGCACAACGCGGCAAATTGCAAGTAACCAGACACATGAGTATTGAAGAACAAGTAATGATATTTTTGACAACAATTGGGAAAAATGCGTCAAGTCGTGATTGTGGGGAGGATACCAGCATTCCGGTGAGACAATCTATAGATATGTCCATGCAGTTTGTGATGCGATATTGGAGTTGACGTCAGTCTTTATCAAGCCACTTGACTTCACTGATGTTCATTGGAGATATCGACCGACCCAAGCTTCTACCCATTCTTTAAGTTACTTAATTATTTTTAATTAGTTGATAGTTAAGTTCATTGTTCATAATTGTTGTTCGTCTTCACATATTACTAAAATGCAATTTTGTCAACAAGACTGTCTTTGAGCGATTGACGGTACACATATACGTGGATCGACGCCAGCTGAGGTAGCTAATACGTATCGAAATCGTAAGGGGCATTGTTGCAGAATGTGAGGCTGTCTACGACTTCAATATGTTGTTTACATATGTTGTCACTGGCTGGGAAGGATCTGCCCATGACGGAAGGATTCTAAATTCAGTTCTAGATGATCCTGATTCGGGTTTCCCGCATCCTCCTCCAGGTATAACTAACTTGTTTATGTACTGTAGCTAAACTATAAACATTTTTTTTATGATTCTTCGAATAACATTCAGTTATTCATTATAGACAATATTACTTAGTAGATGCGGGTTATGCGAACAGTGGTGGGTTCCTCGCCCCACATAGACGAGTTCCTTATCATGTTCCCGATGCACGCTCGTAACCTTTCTGGACCTATGGAGTTGTTTAACTACAGACATGCATTGCTTCGGAATGTTGTGGAGAGGACCTTTGGTGTTTCTAAAAAAAGGTTCTGCATTCTTGATGGCATGAATAATTACCCGTTGTAGAAGCAAGCTAACATTGTTATGACATGTTGTGTCATTTAATTTTATCAAAAGGTTCGATACGAACGACTCTATCTTCCAAGGTTTAATGGAATGGAGTTTGTGAGGAAGGAAATGGGACGGGTTCGAATCAACTGACTCAACGTAATACAGACGACAGGGAAGGGTGAGGGATAGCATAACTACTACTCTGTGGGCAGAACATGAGTCCAGCTC